CCCTCTCCCACTCCCCCTGCTTGTGTTCCCTCTCTGGCTGTCTCTCTGTGTGCCAAATAAATAAAATTAAAAAATAAATAAATAAAAATTAAAAAAAATAAAACCACTGTCTAAATATGTCTCGAATTATCTACTTCTCTTCATCTCCACAGCCCCCCATCCCAGGCCTACTCATGCTCATCGCTCACCTCTGCTGTGGCAATGGCCTCCTGACGCACAGACGTTCTTGCTTCCGGTCCATCTACAGTCCCTTCTCCGCGAAGCAGCCAAGAGAGCAGTGGGGCAACGTAAGTCAGATGTGGGGGCCTCTTGTGAACGGTGATGAATTGTACCCCCTTTCCCTTTTAAAGGCTCACTCAAATGGTAGTGAAGAAAGAGGGAAGACATAAATCCACAAGGACAGAGAAAATGATATCTCAGCAGATAGAGGATTTCAGCAAAGTCGTGGATGCTTTGAAGAGGGTTGAGGAAGAGTCACAGATGTAGCGACCAGGACAGAAGGAGACAGAAGATGAGAGGGGAAAGGGGCTCTGGAGGCCCCAGCCTGCACAGAGGGGCAGAGGTGGAAGAACTGTTGACCCCCTCCACCGCTGCCCTGCACAGAAAGGCAGAAACAAGGTTCCCACGTTTAGACAGAATACCAGAAGTTTGTTATCTGGAGAAATGGAAGGCTCTAGAGAAAAATTCCCTATACTAACATTTGGAGCGTTCCCGGTGAAATGGCTGGCTCTTTGCCCAATCACTAAAAAGCAAAATCACCAGTAAAAAAAAACCTCACTTGTGCCCATGGAACGTCCAGTTTGATTTTTAGTGCTCTTCCCTTAAATACACATTGCTGAACAAGGATCATCTGACAAATGAAGAAAACTCCTGTGTCAGTTCGGGTCCTCGGGGAAACACACCAAATAGAGTTAGAAGCGCACGGGATTTACCGAGATTTACTGAGATTTACCGGGCACAATGCTTGTGGAGAGCACAGAGAAGAGGGAGCAGAAGTCAACGGGGAAAGTTTTCAGACTGCGATGCAGGACTGGCATGCGAGAAAGAGAGGGAAGGAAGGAGGACTGGGAAGAGAGAGAGTTTCAGCCCGTGGTGCAGCAGAGCTCCAGAGCAAAGACAGCCCACTAGAGGAGCCCGCTGGGCAGAACCACCTCGGTACTTTTACCCCCATCATGCTCAGCAATTGGCTGGAGTTGCCTGAGGGCAGTGTGTTCTCAGTTCAAATGCTGCAGTTCATCCACAAGTTGTCCCAGCCAAAGTTTGTCAGTTGATGGCACTCCTCATGGCAAATGCTCTCTTGGAGTGAGAGCTTGGTGGTGCATTTCCATCCCTGCTCCGCTCCCACCATGAAAGAGGAAGACAAAATGAAAAAAAAAAAAAGGAAAGCTAAGAAAAGAGAAAAACAAAACCAACCAACCAACCAACCAATTTAGGGGCGCCTGGCTGGCTCAGTGAGAAGTGCATGTGACTCTTGATCTTGGGGTTGTGAGTTCAAGCCCCATGTTGGGTGTAGAGATTATTTAACTAAGTTTAAAAAAATTCTTTAAAAAAAACAAAAACCCAAACCAATTTTTTTTTTAAAGATTTTATTTATTTTTCAACAGAGAGAGAGAGACAGCGAGAGAGGGAACACAAGCAGGGGGAGTGGGAGGGGGAGAAGCAGGCTTCCCGCTGAGCAGGGAGCCCGATGTGGGACTCGATCCCAGTACCCTGGGATCATGACCTGAGCCGAAGGCAGATGCTTAACGACTGAGCCACCCAGGCACCCAACCCAAACCAATTTAAACACACCCTTCCCGATAATTAATATCTTGTAGTAGTTATTTAAAAAAAAGAATATAATGCAGTGAAAAAAGGAGCCATAGAGAATACAAAAAGGTTCTTGGAAATTAAATATACAGTAGAGGGTTGGAAAGGTAAAACAAAAATAGTCATTCAGGGAGTAGCACAAAAAGAGAAAGAGATGAAATTTGTTGAGCACCTATTATATGTTGTTCTAGTGTTTGATGAAAAGCTGCAGACAAAATTCACAAAGCCTTTGCTCCTAAGGGTCTCCCAAGAAGAGAAATATGTGGGTAGACCAATCCGGTAGGCACAACCTTTGACTAAAAGGAGTTCCAGAAAGAGAAGACAGCAACGAAGAGGACAGAAAATTGACAAAAAATTAATACAAGAAACTTTTACAGGATTGAGGAGGATGCATCTCCAAAATAAATGATCTGAACTTCTACTTTGGCCCAAGATGGAGTAACAGGGAATGGGTTTACCCTCCCACCTGAAACAACTGAAAAACCAGACAAAACAGGAGACAGTGGGGTTTGGACTTTGGAAATCAGGCAGCAGAGGACGGTGATCCCTGAGAGAAGAGAAGCATAGCTGGAAGTTCTACAGTTGTCCCCACCTACTGCCTGGAATGAG